GGGGGTGGCCGTGGGCTCGCCCTCCGTCGGGCGCCTGTCCGGGGGGCCTGGGCCGGGCCTTTAGGGCCGTCATCGCGATCCGTCCCCCCTTGAGGCTCCCGGTGGCCCCGAAGTCGTACTTGCTGTTTACGTAACTGATTGCCGTTTACCTGAGGTGTGTGACAGCACCGTTGCGCGTGGGGGCTCCCGCAGGGCTCAGGAGGGTAGGGCCAGCTGCGGTGCCGTAATTAACGGCTGCAAGCAAGGGTAACAGGCCTCGGGCAGAGGAAGGGTGCGCACTGTGTCTGAATGTCTAACGCTTACATCTCTGTATTTCCAAAAAGCAGTGGTGGAATTGGAGCCACTTACCTGGGTTATAAGAGAGCAGTATTGCACTGAGTAAGGTTTTTCCAAGTGTATCAGCCACCTATTCGCCAACAAACCCACACACATAAGCAGGCCTTGGGATGGTTGATTATTCCCCTTTTCCCTTCATGGTATAGCTATGGCACTTCTTTTTTTTTTGGTAATAATTACATTTCTCTCTTTTGCTTACTGATGGTGACTGTGGCATAATTTCTAGCAACGATTGTTCAAATGCTTGTTTGAACAACTGAGATCTAACAAGATGGTGCTAAAAATGGCTTTTGGTGCTTAAATTCACGGTTTGGCCACATACTTGGACAAGTCACAGCTGCTCATAGGTTCATGATAAAATTACTTTGTTTTTAACAAGATTTCTGACCCTTGAGTAGATAGTTTGTAAGCATAAAACACTGTTAAATTCAGTGCACAGTAGTCGTACTCTAAAGTGGTAGCAGTAGCTTGTGATAAGCAGAGATCTTCAAGACCTTGAAGTGCAAGCTTAAAATACTAAAATCACGATTTTAGGGGACTGAGAAGACATTGTGTTAGTCTGAAACACTATTGAATCATCTAGGTTGCCATTTGGTGTTTGTCAGTGGTCTGTAGTTGGAAAAACCTGCCTTGTTTTACATTGCTAAGTTACAGAATGGGAGTCGGTGCTTTCCCTCAACTCAGCTGCCAGACAAATTATTTTCAAAATACAGTGGCTGATACAGTAGCAGTTTTTTTCCAACTTACCTGCGTACCACTACAGTCAAGTGAGACCTGATCTGAACCAGGTTAAAGCTGTATGCTAGCTGTGCAGCTTTTCCAAGAGATTCCTTCCTGCTTTCGAAAGGCTTCTTTCCGTGTGGGGATGATCATATGAAGCTGAAAATCCTCTGAACTAAGTACTACTGGTAAGAGCACTGCTGCCTTTTGCCAAGTACTCATTTTTTATGTGAGTTAATAACAGAAAAACCATCCTTTTTACCAGGAGAGTCTCTAGGTGAAAGGTAGGTAGAACAGAGCCTAGAACACGTAACTAAGTACAGGGTCATCTGTACGTCAGATGCATGGAAAAGTGAATGGCACAGGTCCCTTGCAGCATGTCTGATGTGAGAAATCGGCCGTACTTACAAGTCACTTCTGCCCCATACATACTAGAGAGCAAATAAGCACTGAAAGTATGAGACCTCACAGAGCATCTGTGGAGCAGTTTCTGGTAAAAGGCATTTCTATCTGATCACGTCTGCCATGCTGCGAAAAAATCTAGGTGTTGGCATGCTTTGGTTATTTGAAAATGGATTATGTTTTGCACATACTGTACTTAATATCCTTATAAGCTGTTAGCATCGCCATTGACAGACTTGCATCCTCAGGAACAAGCAGCCAATCATACTCCTTAAATACGCTTTTCCTCAGGAACATTCAGTGAGTGTCTTTCCTGTTATTTGTCAATGGCTACCTTAAAGTCTTCACAAGTTGCCCCTGTGTTTTCCAGTACCATTAAGTGGTGTACTGTGGAAATATCTCTTTGTACCATACTGTAATTTTCTCTTTCAAAGGTGGCCTAGATGCTAGTCATCGTCTGTACATCAGTCTGCAAATTCTGTGGAGTACAGTTGTTGATTGTAGAAGCGGCATATTCAGCAGTAAATGTCAAAGAAGAAAATGCCTGTGTTCTTTCACAAAAATCATGAAAAGTGCAAAGTATGCCAGAATAATCTACATTAGTCTAACTTCTGCTGTTAAATTGTATTGCAGTTGCAAAAGGAGATTTGAACCTACTTGGCCTTTCACAGCCTGATGATACTGAATGGTTACCTGTAAGGATACTGAGCAATTATAATGGTCTCACACGTGTGGTAGCTACTTTAATGTATTGTAATCCTTGATATCACAGAGTGATACTGACTAGATGCTGACTAATATTGTCTGAATAGAGGTGCAACAAATTCATTTACTATTCTTAAATACAAATTTTGTGTCTGGGTGATACAGTAAGTTGCTGATGTGCTTAAAAGATTGGAAATCCATTTTAATAGGATGTGTGCAGCCACAGCACCATGCCAGTTAACTAAGGTGTTGGACCATGATGCACAGCATTTTCAGTAGGACTGTGTGACAGACTACTGTGTCTTTCTGTGATTTTTTTTGGGTTTTGAGTATTTGTTTCATACACGATGAACTGATGGATGCCACCCACTGGCAATCTAAATTATGGCCAAAATGCTGCTAACACACACTTGACATTGCAGCATGTGCACAGTTCTGAATAGTTTTGGGGGAATCCTCTCAAAACTTGTTTTCTAAAAGAAAAAACGTTCAGTTGCAAAACCTCTTTATGTGATCTGCCAGTTTTAAACTGGTGCAGCGTCACACAGGTGTTCTGTATTATTTTTCTGGTTGTTTTCTTGTGAACCTGTTACCTTTTTTGCATAATAGCTAAACTTTCACAGCAAGTGATGCTGAGTTGCCTTGCACGTAATCTTCACATAAATCAGTTCAGTGACTCTCAAAACAATGCTTAAAATACTCATCTTGGTCTGCATTTCATCTATATCTAGAAACAGTTCAGAGAGCAAGAGAAAACACTTCTAGAACTTGTTTTTTGATCAGTGGTTGATTCATGTATTATGATGCTTACTTTAAAATACCTTTCAGTAATTTTCCGTCATTGTAGAGACATGATAAAAAGCTTGATATGAAAATGTTCCACTTGAATACTAAGTTCTTGCAAGCTAATGAAATACAGTAAGTCGCAGTAATATAAACACTACTGATTCTTACATTGCACTGTTGTTTTGCTGCAATGATTTTGAGTGTCTGTCTGAATGATCTGTTTTTTCCAAGTTTTCTTATGAATTTTTTTCTCTCTTTTTTTGTTTTATTTTGGTTTGGCTTTTTTTTGTTTTGTTTTTGACTTGCTGCTTGGTTCTTGGATCTCCGTGCCATATTAAGTGAGTTCATACTTACTGTTGTTTGATGTGCTCAGCTCAAAGGAACTTTTACAAACATATCAGCCTAAGTTTAGCATCTGTCATGATAAAATTCTGTGTCGTTTCATCTGGAAGTGGAAACATTTTAAGGATGTGTAGTGTCTTCTCTAAATTAGAAGGTGAATGTATTGGTAGGTAATATTCAGACCTCATTTCAGAAACAAATGATACAAATATGTAAGTTTGCAGACAACACCAAGTTGGGTGGGAGTGTTGATCTGCTTGAGGGTAGGAAGGCTCTACAGAGGGATCTGGATAGGCTGGATTGATGGTCTGGGGACAGTTGTATGAGGTTCAACAAGGCCAAGTGCCAGGTCCTGCACTTGAATCACAACAACTGGAGCTGCTGGTGTTGGTTGACAGCTGACTGAATATGAGCTGGTAATGTGCCCAGGTGGCCCAAAAGGCCAATAGCACCCTGGCTTGTATCAGAAATAGTGTGGCCAGCGGGACTAGGGAAGTGATTGTCCCCCTGCACGTGGCATTGGTAAGGCTGGACCTCGAATACTGTGTTCAGTTTTGGGCCCCTCACTGTAAGAAAGACATTGAGGTGTGGGAGCATGTCCAGAGAAGGGCAAGAAAGCTGATGAGTGTTCTAGAGCACAAGTCTTATGAGGAGCAGCTGAGGTAATGGGGGGGTTGTTTAGTCTGGAGAAAAGGAGGCTGAGGGTGAGACCTTATTGCCCTCTACAGCTACCTGAAAGGAGGTTGTAGCAAGGTGAGTGTCGGTCTTTTCTCCCAAGAAACAAGCAATAGGACAAGAGGAAATGGCCTCAAGTTGCACCAGGGGAGGTTTCACTTGGATATTAGGAAAAATTTTGTCACTGGAAGGGCTGTCAAGCATTTGAACGGGCTGCCCAGGGAAGTGGTTGAGTCACCATC